GTATGTATCGGCACATGGTCAGAAAGACTACTCATAAGGGTGCATGTCTCATGCTTTTTAAACAAACTCATAAAAGTTTGATCGTAAATAACGCTATCTAACTTGGATAATCTTTCTACATCCCAGTTATCTCTCAGTGTATGCTTACTCAGAAACTCCATATTTATAACATGTTCCATTTAGGATGTTTTGAAATGCCACCGGGTTTTTGGTTGAAACAGGTAAGAAAGTTTAGCCGGCGAAAGAATATCATGTAATACTATATGCCCATTATAATCCATGGGTCGCTTTTATCATGCGTGCTTGAAATTATTTTTAAAATGTCAAGACCGTCTTTTGTATCTCCATGCACTCCATGAAATGTGAATTTGATTCTTATATCACCAACTAACTCAAATTCTAATAATAAACGTAAATTCTTACCTTGCCGAGAGACCTGACATAGTCTTCCTCCCACATCAAAACGATGGCGACCCTTGTATTGATGTGCTCCGCTATAATATTTTCTTTCTATGATTGAGCTTCACTTACCTCTTGCAAAGTAACTATGTGTGGAGAATAACGCTCAATACATTTTTTATCGCTAATTTTTTTGGTTCTTTCTTTGGCCTTATTTCGGGCAGATGCGTTTTTCTCGTTATCCTTATTTTCATTGGCTATATTTTCGGCGGACATATTTTTTTCCTCATTATTTCTTTCATTGTCTTTATTTTTAGCAAATGCGTTTTCTCCTCATCCTTTCTTTCTTTGACTTTATTTTCGGTAAAAATATTTTTCTCCTCATCTTTTTTTGATAACGTTCCGTGAAATTATTTTTAAGCTTTGTAAGCATCGGGATGAAGTTTTACCTCTACTTATCTTTAATTCTGTACTTCTATATAAAACACAAATCAACAAATAAAAATAATAATCGCATATCAAAATAATGATCTAATCCCTTATTGGACTGTAGCTATTTTTTAAGTAGACACATGCTTCTTCCGTATGATGTAAAACATGGTATCAGCGCATACTTTTATTTATTTAAGGGAAAATTTCGTTCTTATACCATATTGGTAACTATATTACCAAATATGTTCATAATTTGCATATTATTCTTCATGCTAATAATATTTCTACAAAAAATACAATGCATTAAATAAGGAAATATTGTAGCTGTAGGCTTCCTTATTTAGGCGCGCTAAAATTGGGGGATTAAATATTCTTCCAGATCTTCCACAACGCAAATTACGCATATTAATCTTCTTCGTCAGTTTCGTTTCAAATTTAGCGTCTCTGCTTTTTCTATACACTGTGTTTCAAACTTTTTTCTGATTTCACAAATCAAAAACGACTAAATATTCTACAATTCTTCTACATCAAATGCAATTATGTCCAAATTTCAGTAATACAAAGAAAAGGAAAAGAGAGCAACAATTCCACCATTGACAGCCATTAAAAACTTTGAAGCTTTGAATTAATATTTGGGTTTTCAAAAATCATTATTTGTTTGGATTAGGTGTTGTTGCAAATAATTGGGAATATGATTTGGAGTTTATATCTCAATTTTGAGGGGTTTTGGTGAAGATTAGACGTAGTTTTGGCTGAATTTCGGATTGAAACTCGAAGAAGAAGAAGAAGACATGATATATATTATATTGCAGAAATTGTGAAAAAATTGTATTCTGTTGTTTATTTATTTTTCTTTTATTTATTTAACTATTGTATGAAAGTTGAACAATATTGCACAAAAATTATATTTAAGTGGTATTATATTGTAGTTGTATATAACTTAGTAGAAATAATGTACGAAAATTGTAGATAAGTTGTATAATATATAATTAGTTGTATGAAAATTATTTTTACTATGTATAAATCATATACAAAAGACATATTGTATAAATTTTGTATAAAATTTGTATGTAAGTTTTATGTTATTGTAGTTGTATTTTACTGGGTGGAAATAATGTGTGAAAGTTGTAGAAAATTGTAGATAAGTTGTATTCTTCTATAACGGGAGATATTGGCATATCAAGTAACTTTAGTATTCCAGACGAACACGCATGAAAATAAAGATAAATTCTGTTATGAATAGTTTGTAGATAATTTGTAGAAACATTGAAATTCTGTATTTTCATATTAATTTTTCAAATGATATGCATTTTTATTGTAGAATAAATGTAGAAAACAAGCCATTGTGAGTCTTATTGGACTCATTCCTCACATTCAACCTATTCTACAAATTCACGTCTCTTTAAATACAATACAATCATACTTTCTTGAATTTAAAGGTTAGCAATATATATAACATCAAAACATCTTCTCCTCTGCACAAGTTAGCTCCAAAACAGACGAAGTGGAATAACAAACTCCCATCAAAACTTTTAATACAAAAACGCAAAGCTCAAATTTTATGTTATTGTAGTATATTTAACTAGGTGGAAATAATGTGTGAAAGTTGTAGAAAATTGTAGATAAGTTGTATTCCTCTATAACAGGAGATATTGGCATATCAAGTAACTTTAGTGTTCCAGACGAACATGCATGAAAATAAAGATAAATTCTGTTATGAACAGTTTGTAGATAATTTGTAAAAACATTGAAATTCTGTATTTTCATATTAATTTTTCAAATGATATGTAGTTTTGTTGTAGATTAAATGTAGAAAACAAGCCATTGTGAGTCTTATTTGACTCATTCCTCACATTCAACCTATTCTACAAATTCACGCCTCTTTAAATACAATACAACCATACTTTCTTGAATTTAAAGGTATAGCGATATATATAATTTAAAAAATATCTTCTCCTCTGCACAAGTTAGCTCCAAAACAGACGAAGTGGAATAACAAGCTCCCATCAAAACTTTTAACATAAAAACACAAAAGCTCAAAAATAAATAAACAACAGTCTACAATTTATCTACAATTGCTGCAATATAATGTATGTCATGTCTTCTTCTTCTTCTCTTCTTCTTCGAGTTTCAATCTGAAATTCAGCCAAAAGCAAGTCTAATCTTCAACAAAACCCTTCAAAATTGAGATATAAACTCCAAACCATATTCCCAATTATTTACAACAACACCCAATCCAAAAAAAATAATGATTTTTGAAAACTCAAATTTGAATTCAAAGCTTCAAAGCTTTTTGATGGCTGTCAATGGTGGAATTGCTGCTCTTTTTTCCTTTCCTCTTATATTACTGAAGGAACCCGAAATCATAACCATCAAATCGATGAGGCTTGTGCTCATCTTCCCCGGGCACAAAAACATTGGGACAAGATTGCAGAGGTGCCGACAGTGCTTTGACTATGGAAGAAATAATGAGATTTTGATACAGAAATTATGGGTGTGGGAGGGAAACGTGGGTGAAGGCGTGCGAAATGGAGAGAGAAACGTGGGGGAGTGGTATTAGAAGGAATACACGGTACCATTAAATTAGGAGGGTAATTAATACCCTTAAAACCCACTAATGGTATATAATTGGTAATTAGATATCTTAAATGTAATTATATCAAACCTTAAACATTGAGGGTAATATAGTTTTCTATATGGCATAGGAACGTAAAGATTCCTTTATTTAGTTATCTCTTCAACACGCCCCTTTGCGAGTATATTTTATTTATTGGCAATGTACGTGAAAATTTATTTTTAATAATGAGTGCCACTGAGACTTGAAACAGAACCTTTGTCTTTGTGCACCATGATCGTGATCTAATATTTTCATTTTAGGTCCTTTATGTTTCTAAGATGTACAAGGATTCAAATGTTGCTCCATTTGACATTATTTTCGTCATCAAATCAACTTGGTATATTTCTTTATCTCTCTATTTTCCCAGTTCTTTCAACATTTTGACTTTTTTTTTGTTGATAAAGTAATGTGTTCATTATAAAACGCAAGAAGAAGCAAATTTACAAGAAGCATAACTACAAAAGAAACAAATAATATAAGAGATCATTGTTTGCCCCAAAACAAAGTTTCAATCTAGGACAAGATCGTTAATAAAATCTAAAAGATGTCCAGCAGTATTTATTGAGGACAAATTTATCTAGCAAAATAGATCGAGCAAACATTTAGATTTGAGCAAGTGGTATTGAAGTATCAAACCGATACCGTCTGTGGCGAAGTTAGAAATTTCTTTAAGGGTGTTCAAATTTGAAGGTAGTAAATAAAAATTCTCTGACAAATAATGTTCAATATATATGTTATATACCTCTAAAACCTAATATTTTATCTATATACACAGTTTAATTTTTCGATGAAGGGCGGTCAACGAATATATAGGTTCGCCCCTAGATACAGTGAGTAGTTAATTGGAGATATAGGGGATAAACTTTGTCAGAACATAATGGGGAATGTAAACAACAAAATTACAAAACTATAGGCTAATCCCTATCCCATGACGAAAAAATCGGTAACTTTCTTTCTGATATACAACAATAATATATTCGGTATAATTCCATATAATGGGGTCTAGGGAGAGTAGTGTGTATTTAGATACGATTTTTGATTATAAGCAATTTGCTTATTCGTTCACAGGGAAAAAAAAAACAGCTAATTGGAAATTACAGAAGCATTTCTTACCAAAATGTGCAAGTCACTGACTCGAATTATAGCGCGTCTAATTTTTTTTGAAAACTCTCTTATTCCATTTGTTTTATTTTATATGATATTTTCGTTTTTATTAGTTCTTAAAAAAATGTACTTTTTTATATTTTCAAGCTTTTACTTATTTAGGTGATGTGTTCCATAAAAATGTCAATGAAGTATTTAAAATTACTAGTTTTAAAAATACTTTTCATATATATAAAAATTGTATTTTTTTTCCAGTTAAACCAAACATCTAGAAAGCTCGGAGGAAGAAGCAACAAATCCAAGAATATTCACAGAATTGTCTTTCCGGTCACTATTACGTAGTGTTGACGAAAACCCATTTTGTCTGAACTATGAAAACTTATTTTGTGATTGTAGTGACGACAATATAAATATTTTAAAGTAATATCTATCGATTAAGAATTAAGGAAACTGAATAATGAAATGGGTCAGAAACTCGAAATAAATGAAATTGGAAAGAAAATATCTTTTTGTAAGTAAATGAATGAAATAAAGTTAGAAGCATGTGGAACAACCATTTTCCTAATAAACATAGTATTGAACAAAGAATCTCCCACAGAAGAAAGCCATGGCTGTTATTTTGAAGAATCACAGCCTATTAATCACTTTCTTATTCCTCTGCTGTTTATTGCCATGGCGGCAGATAGATGGGTTCAAAGTACCATTTCATCCAAAGGATATTCTGCCATTTTTACCAAGACAGGTCTCATGGCCCATCCTCAACTCTCTCCACAGTGCTGTGAACCTCATGCCCACTTTTGTTGGGGTTGCTTCAAATAATATACTGGAGTGGAAAGGTGCTTGCTTTTACAAGAATATTGCTTGGTTGGAGCTTCATAATAAGTCCCAAAGTCAATTTGGTGGAGGCACCCTTCATATTAAGGTCTCACTCTATCTATTTTTCTTTTTGCTTTTGTGAAATGGGTCTGAATTATAAAAAGTTGTTTCCTTGTGCTTTGTATTTTTGAATAAGGATTAGTTGCTATTGTTATACTTACATTAGGTGTGGTGTTTAATAGTAATGTTTTTATTTGGAGCACTCCGAGATTCACTGGGATTTCGGGTATTGTAGGCGCATAAGAGTAGAGAGGTCGAGAGGGCTATGCGTAATATGCACAAGGGTAGAGCAACCGGGCCAGACAAAATCCCTGTGTAATTTTGGAAGAATGCGGGTAGGGCATGTTTGGAGTGGCTCACTATGCTGTTCGACGTCATTTTCAGGACGAAGAAGATGCCCGAGGAATGGAGGTGGAGTACGATGATCTCGTTGTATAAGAACAAGGGCGATATCCAAAGTTGCAATAATTATAAGGGGATTAAGCTGCTTAGCCACACGATGAAAGTTTGGGAGAAGGTGAGAGTGAGGGAACAATGTGTCCATTTCTGAGAACCAGTTCGGTTTCATGCCGGAGCGTTCGACTATAGAAGCCATTCATCTTGTGAGGAGATTGGTGGAGCGGTATAGGGAGATGAAGAAGGACTTTTTGGTATTCATTGACTTAGAAAAAGCTTATGACAAGATCCCGAGAGGTGCTTTGGAGATGCTTGGAAGCTAAAGGCGTCCCAGTAGCCTATATTAGGGTAATTAAGGACATGTATAATGAAGTTAAGACTCAGGTCAGGACAGCGGGAAGAGACTCGGACACTTTCCGGTTGTGATAGGGTTGCACCAGGAATCATCTCTTAGCCTATTTCTATTTTCCTTGGCGATGGACGCATTGACGCGACACATTTAAGGAGAGCTGCCATGTGTATGTTATTTGCTAATGACATAGTTGTGATTGACGATACACAGGGTGGTGTTAACGAGAGACTAGAGGTTTGGAGGCAGACCCTAGAGTCTAAGGATTTTAAGTTGAGCAGGACCAAGACGGAATACTTGGAGTGCAAGTTCAACAACGTTATCCTGGAAGCGGACATGGAGATGAGGCTTGATACACAAGTCATCCCCAAGAGAGGTAGTTTCAAGTACCTTGGATATATAATAAATGGTAACGGGGAGATTGATGAGGATGTCACGCACCGTATCGGAGTAGGATGGATGAAGTGGAGGCTCGCTTCTGGTGTCTTGTGTGATAAGAATGTGCCATTGAGACTTAAAGGTGACAAGGTTGTAGTTAGACCGACTATGCTCTATGGAGCAGAGTGTTGGCCTCTCAAGAACCCTCATGTCCCGAAGATAAAAGTAGCTGAGATGAGGATATTAAGGTGGATTTGTGAGCATACCAGGTTGGATAAGATTAGGAATGATGTTATTCAGGATAAGGTGGGAGTGACTCATGTAGAGGAAAAGATGCTGGAGGCGAGGTTGAGATGGTTCGGGCATGTTAAGAGGAGAAGTATAGAAGCCCCAGTCAGAAGATGCAAGAGGTTAGCCTGAGTATCAGGAAGGATAGAGGTACGCCTAAGAAGTCTTGGGGAGATTTTATTAGGTGGGACATGGTGCAGCTAGAGCTGACTGAAGACATGGCCCTAGATAGGAGGGTGTGAAGGTCGAGGAGCAGGGTAAAAGGCTAGTAGGTAGTCGAGTGTATCTCTTTGTCTTACCTAGCTCGCTAGCATTAGTGTTAGTATGATATCATTTTATTATAGATTGCTATTACTTCCTAGAGTTTAACTGTTTTCTTAGCTTCGGTCTTTTTATCTTGTTGTTATTCCTACTTGTTGCCGTTACTTTTTTCATCTGTTTTCCAACCGAGGGTCTATCTGAAATGGTCTCTCTATCCTTCTAGGGTAGGGGTAAGGCTGCATACATTTTACCCTCCCCATACCCCACTTGTGGGAAATTACTGGGCTTGTTGCTGTTGTTTTGTCTGGTCAAAGACTTGTTTGAATATGAGATCCTCTAGGTTAAGAGAATAGAACCCATAACTTGCCTTACAATACAAATTATATACTTGCATTGAAAAGAAATGGGCCCAAATGGAGTGGAATTGATATATTCCTACTGCTGAACACAACTAGCTGGGATGGAGGCATAGTCGATTGATTCATTGATTCTGTTAAGTATTTCTTGAGTTGGTATTTACTGTGAATTCTGATCTAGGTGATTCCCCGATTTAGTTGACTAAGATAAGTCCTTGCAGCTGGTCCTAATTATCCTTTGCTATTAAATGTCTGTTTTTTTTATATTAAATATCTGTCGATTTGGTTGCCAAATAGATAGAAAAGATCATGTGGAAGTAAAGTTAATCTTGATTATTTGCTCTACCCTCTTCATGTGAATCTCTGAAAGTTGGCTTATATCTGCCTAATGTTATTCATTGTAACTTTGCCGCAGGCTGTGGATGCGACATATCTTTTATAGAATCTTAGTCTTTGTATTGATTCTATGTTGGTAAAATTTAGTGGAAACTGTGCTTAGCGATGTTGCAAATGCCAATGTTATTGGTGTTTATGGAGAACAAAAACAATTTGGAAAGCATGATCTGTATACATTATTATTAATGATGAGTATTTGTTATCTGCATAAGTATATATATGATATAGGTTATTGATAAAGCAACTCATGGATTGTAATTTTACCTGCCTTTTACTTCTCTTTGTGCCTTCTTTTTAATGCTTGGATGGAAAGAATTCTCAATTTAATGCCAATGCTTGATCTGTGGGATTCTTGTACTTATCCTAATACCAATGATTGTAATCCTATTAAAATATTATGCAGGTGAGCAATGCACACAGTTGGACGTGTATGGATCTTTACATCTTTGCAACCCCATATCGCGTGACATGGGACTACTACTTATTGTCTCGTGAGCATACTCTTGAAATTGAAGAATGGGAGTCTCAAGCTGAGTTAGAATATGTGAGTACCAATCATTACTTAAATGAAGCTAAAAGAATTATTTATGAGACTAATGGAATAGATTTGAAACAGGTCAAACATAAAGGTATCTCAGTTTTCCTAATGCAAGCAGGAATGTTAGGAACCCTTTCAGCACTCTGGGATGTTCTCCCTTTGTTCACGAACACTGGATGGGGTGAGAACTCAAATATTGGTTTTCTAAAGAAACATATGGGCACTTCATTTGAAAAACGTCCACAGCCATGGGTCACCAACTTTACTACCGATGACATACATTCTGGGGATTTTCTTGCATTATCAAAAATTAGAGGTCGCTGGGGTGGTTTTGAGACTTTAGAGAAATGGGTATCAGGAGCTTATGCTGGCCATTCTGCTGTTTGCTTGAGAGACTCCGAAGGAAAACTATGGGTTGGCGAATCTGGAAATGAGAATGATAAGGTAGTGTTCTAAAATATTTTGTTTTCACGTTATGTTATTCTTTGGTATTTACTCTTTCTTTCTTCGGGAGCAAGGGCAAAGTCTGTTACAGAGTAAAGAACTGGAAGAATAGAAGGAGAATGGAGATCGAGAAAATTATCTCATACTGTGCAAATTTGCTTTTGTTTCTCGTTGTACGAGGCTGCTAGCATTGTTTTATGATCTTCTCTAGTCTTTTTATAGTGATAGAAATGTTATTGATTAGCTTCTCATTTGCTTATCTCCTATCGTCGTTTAACATTCTCCAAATATAGCAATCACAACTTTGACAATTCAATTTCAAGATTCAAAGTAATATAATTGTTCCATGACTTATTGTTGCTAGAATTTTCTTATTTGAAAATCCTTAGACATTCAGTTGTTGTTTATGGGAATTATGTAGTTTTATATTACTTTCTTCTGTATTTACTGTATAGAAAACTATTACTTTTCCACTATCTTTTTTCTTCTTTTCTTCTTCCATGTTAATAAAACATTTACATCCTTATTTTGAGGGAATGCGATTACTTTAGCCAGAATTATTTTAATTTTTGGCAATCCTTATAGATCCATTTTTTTGTTTTAAATGATTATTTACTTGTGTACTATTTTGTGGTGTCTTTATCATACTTTGCTACTATTATTCGCTATCTGTTTTCATACTTTCTCGTTCATGTTTATTAAAAACTTCAGAACTTATGTTCAGGGAATTCTGAATTTTTACCGAACTAATAACGAGAATTGATAGAAAAGTTAACTTTTAGGGAATAAAAAGTTGTTTTCCTAATAAATGAAAAAAGAAAGAGATAAAAGTGCGACATGTTGGAACAATTGATTAAAGTATTAGAGTGATATTCAAATCAGCAAACTTAGGGGGAAAAAGCATCTAAGTTCGTGAGTGTACAGCTTTAGATATTAGTATGACTATTACACCGTTGACTTCAAATATCACGTTGTATGAGTATCACATTAAAAGGTATGATCCCTATTCAACATTTGCACAAACTTTAAGCACCACTAACTAGGTAGCAACTTGTGGGCATGCAATAGGCACAACACAATATTCAAAGGCGCATGGTTAACAACTTGAGTGTGTACGCTGTAGTTCTGGTTATTCATCTTGGCCCAGACACATTGGGAATTGGGGGAGGTGGACAGGTTGAAGATATAAGAAAAACCTTAAGCATGAATGGCCATTTACTTAGTAACGTAATCTCTATACCATATTTGCACCAATTTTATTCTTCACATTTCCTTCCAGGGAGAAGACGTTATTGCTTTATTGCCATGGGAAGAGTGGTGGGAGTTTGAGCTGACAAAAGATGATTCCAATCCACATATTGCATTGCTCCCTTTGCACCCTGATCTCCGTGCAAAGTTTAATGAAACTGCTGCTTGGGAATATGCAAAAAGCATGGATGGCCAACCTTATGGTTACCACAACTTAATATTTAGCTGGATAGACACAATTGATGGAAATTACCCCTCACCCTTGGATGCTCATCTGGTAATGCATGTTATTTCATATTACAGTCTTCACAATTTTGTGTTTGAAGTATTATTTTGAAGCTTTTTTCTTTCATACGGTCCTTTACTTCCTGATTCCTCTTGTTTGCGAAATAGTCAGCTGTTCTTTTGCTGAATTATCTCCTTACAAATAAATAAAATAAGTACAAAGAGTGGGTAACATAGACCTCATCGTATGTAGTTGCTCAGCTAGCCAAATAATAATGTTGGCAAATGAAGTGAATTTGGGTAAGGCAGGCATTTCACACACAGACCATTCAGCTGCAGGTTTCATGTATCGAACAGTATCTAGATTTGCATATGGGTAATATCCATTTGAATTTTAACTTGATGTTATCATCAATTTCTTCTTGGAGCTTCATTTGACTGCTATAACATTCTAGTATGAGTCTAGTGTTTCATAAAACTCCATGAAGTATGCATATGTGCTTAAGCAGTGAATAAATGATAGGTAAGTATCTCGTGAGAGCTGAATGGTATTTGTTTTGTTGTAAGAACCTTGAAGCACCATAGAGTCATGAATGAGCTTGAAATCACTCTATATGATATCCTATTAATATGAGAAAGACAATTGAAGTCAGAAATTTAGGAGGATGAAGGGTGAGGAATGGGAAGAGAGGATAATGGCATTAAGCAAGTAAAAATGGCCGGCATTTATAGATAAAGTGGGTCATCGTGGCACTTGGTTTTGTGTGCTGAATAACTGCTACTGTATTCCTGCAAATTGAAGTTGAAAGTGGCAGAGTGGCCTTGCTACCACGATCCACTTAGATTCAGCTCTTTGTCACTCCTATTCGTATTTAAATTTTTTTAGAAAAGCTTAATAAAAAAGTTCCTGCAAATTGAAACTTAACCTGTTATTTTGTGTAATTGTTGCTGATGTTTTAGTGATGTGTGGTGCAGGTTGCTTCTGTCATGACTGTTTGGAACCAATTACAGCCTGCGTATGCTTCTAACATGTGGAATGAAGCCTTGAACAAGCGACTCGGAACTCAGGTAATTTTTTTTAATGATGACATTCATGAAATGCTTCTGTTTGTTGAGAACAAAATAGTGGACAAAACACTATTAATGCAGCTGATTGGATACTATCTTTCTCCATTATTAACTAATTTAAAGCAGATCAGAATACTGTATATACAAATGTTGTTGACATAAAACCATTGTTACACTGAAAATGTACTCTGCTTTGTTAACTCTCTGATATCTCAAGCAAAATCGATAAGTTAGTGCAGACCTCTATCATGGACTTGATAAAATATAGTACTACATGCTGATCCATTTTGTCCATGCAGAACCTTAGTCTTCCTGACGTTCTTGTGGAAGTTGAAAAGCGTGGATCCTCTTTTGCCGAATTGTTGACTATTCCTGAGCAGGATGATTGGGTTTATAGTGATGGAAAGTCAACGNGGGGGGATCACATGTCTGTGTCTTCAGTGAGGCATCTTTCTCTCATTATTCCTATTATTCTTTACATCCCTACTAAATACACATTTTCGTCAATCCTTGCTCCAATTAAGCTCCAAATAAACTGGTTGTACTTAATTGTTTGGGATTGTCTAAACGTTGTATCCATTTTCCAGTTCCCTAAAATAGAAAACTTTTTACTATACTCTTGCATACCTTTCAGTATCTTAATTCCAAAAATGTATAAGTTAGGAACCAGCCTCTTGCAGAAATGCAGGGTAAGGCTGCGTACAATAGACCCTTGTGGTCCGGCCCTTCCCCGGACCCCGCACATAGCGGGAGATTTAGTGCACCGGGCTGCCCCCCTTTTTTTTTATCAGTTAGGAACCAAATTTTAAACCTGAAGTATTTCAATTCTCGGGAAGTTATCCAATCTTATATGATCTATGTTCAAATTTCTTATGTTTGTGAAACTATTGCATCAATTTTTGATCATCTGGAAAAAAGAAAACTACAATTCTTATATTACTTGTTTTCTGTTGGACGTTGGGGCCTGGTGGTTCATCTCATTGAAAAACACATGGAAGTCTCATGCTGGATTCAACTTCTAGAGTTTGAAAAGTAACGTATTTATTGCTGGGAATGCAGATAAAAGATGCTTACTCTCTCAAGTTTTTCGAGACCAATTCAAGTCGGTTACCGAAGTGGTGCAATGCAGATGACAGTGTGAAGCTTCCTTTCTGTCAAATTCGAGGGAAGTACCGGATGGAACTACCTGGATACAATAGTATGGATATATACCCCTATATGAATGAAAGATGTCCATCGATGCCTCCGAAATATTACAGACCTCAAGGTTGTTGACAAGAGTTTCCCATCTTGTAATTATCTGAGGTTAGCTTGTTGCATATAATTCTTCACTCATCAGTTCTCAGGTTGTTGTACAATTCCCTAGGTACAAAGGTTGCTGATGGACATATATGTTGCTCTTATATAAGAGTTTGTACAGAGTTTGGTCTTTCAGTGCTTCTTGAAAGTTGCACAGGCCAGAATGCTAGCTTGTTAAGTTCCTCGTTTTTATTTAGACATATACTAACGATCTTGGGAAAATGAATCCCAAAAGAACTTGTACATATGGAAAAGAGCTGGTATTCTAAGTGAATATTAGTTGTTGCTTTCTACCTTAAAAACCTTAGAGATCTTCACTCTAACTTTCCATTGTAAAGTTATCTTAACGCTAAACCCCATATTTCGAAAAGTTGCCCGAGAATCAAATTACATAGTTTAAAAGGACTAATAAGTGCTGAAATATGACCATGAAAATTTTCATCTTTCACATCCAATTTTTAGCCTTCAAGTTTAAAAGAAAAGGTTGTATAAATTTAGCTGTAAACTCTGAATCTAGAAAAATATTCCAATTACAAAGATGGAGAATCTTGCTTATGCATGTTTAAAGTTTCAATTTTTCATATCCAACTTTAGCCTCAATTTTCGAATATCATATCATAGTGAAATGGGAAGATCCTAAGTAGAAGATAGAATTACCTAAATGCCCACTAAAAATTAATAGACTTTAGATCCTTATAAAACTAAATAATACCTTAAATTTAGTACACAATATACGTTAGTTATAAGGTTAGTTATGAAATTTTAAAATTCTGTAGATACATGTATCTCAGGTATTGAATTTATACAAAGTTAATTTCTTTTAATTAATACATGTATCACCCCATTATTCCGTATAGATCTGGTGCGTTAAACAAACTTTTCTTCTCTTCTCTTATAATGTGAAGCTAGCAATCAAGGAAATGAATAATTCAATATAATAAATAACATTTATTAGGATAATGATCAATGGTCTCTTCAATTCCTTGCAATTATTTTGCTCTTTAAAATAAATATAATCTTTGCAACTGCTCAAGTTATTTGAATTTGTGAGAAAATGAAGAGACCGATCAAAAACTACATTGATGGGTTGAGGTAGGTTGCAACTAGGTGTATATATGTCTCTGTTTGTATAAGTTTGCTTTATTGTTGTGCCTCTAGAAATCTCTATCATTCTTCTAATCTTTGCTTTTTTTTTTGTTTAAAATAGCTATCAAAGGACAAAAACACTTTAATAATTTTATTTTCATTATTTATTAATTTTAGAATGATCACTTACCTATACCTTAGATTACATCATCTTTGATTTGTTTCTTTTTCCATCTCAAAGAGAGTTTAACATGTTTATGCATATATGACATGCATTGAATTGGAGATTAAAAAAATGAAGGAGAAAAAAAAAAACTAGATTATCTAACGAATTCTATTTTTTTTTAAAATTGTCTTTTTGAAGTTTTTAAGTGTAAATGAGTTCGTTTCTATTTTTTGAAAAGCTGAGTTACACGGGAAAACACAAAAAAAATCATGGCGAGCTTGTGGACCTTTGGTTAAGTCATGTGCCTTTATGTTGATTTGATTCTTCAAGTTTCAAACTTTGATTAAATTTTATGTTAAGTATTTTATTTGTTTATCCTTAAAACGCTACCTAATGGACTCCGAATAGCTTGCTGAGCAATCAAACCTCACTCGCGGGACCTGAAGCTCCTGAATCTGCACACAAGGTGCAGGGAGTAAAATGAGTACTCCAACTCAGTGAATAATAATAATAAATGAAGACTGAGCGATAAGAAATCACGTAAAAACACAACAACATGCTATAAAGAAGCAGAGTAAAACCAATAAACACAATAAAATAGTGAAATATTATAAAACACCTTGGTTCAGAATAAGCTTCTTTAAAACACCTTTTCAACAGTTAAACATGTAAATGAAAAGCAGCTAGAAAAGATAAACACATAAAATCCACCTCGCGGGCACAATGTCAATAGAATCAGCCCCTCGGGCAATAACATGGAATAACACCAGCCCGTCGGGCTATATGTCACATCACAATGGGTACCCACGCTCATTAGGGGTGTACAGACTTTGGGAGGGGTCCCTTACGGCCCAAGCGCAATATCAAGTCATCTCATGGCATAATCAATAGGCTCTCGGCCTCATACCAAGCCACCTTGTGGCGTAAAACTTAGGCCCCCGGCCTCATAATCATAATCAGTACAACACTGCTGCGACGTGCATCCCGTTCCCATAATAATCCTCACAACACAGGCCCTCGGCCCTACTCAGTCAGAAATCTCTAAAAGCCACTTGGGCACAGTAAAATATGATGCTTAGCCCAAAATATCATTTAAAGTGTTAAAAACAGAGTAAACATGGCTGAGTTATGAAAACAGTATAATATAGCATGACTAAGTATAGATATAAAATCAAAACAGTGATGAAATAGCAGTAAAACTTCCCTAAGGGTCCAAATAGTTAGCACGAGGCCCAAATATGGCATGCAACCCAAAACATGATGATAGCAAACAGTTTTCAATCAAATACGCAGTAAAACAGTTATTCGGGATGGACTAATTCACAATCCCCAACGGTGCACGACCCCACGCTCGTCATTTAGCGTGTGTGTCACCTCAATATAGCACAACAATGTGAAATTTGGGGTTTCATACCCTCAGTACAATATTTACAATCATTACTCACCTCTATCCGGTCCGAACTCTAGCCCGCAATGCCTTTGCCTCTCGAATCGGCCTCCGGATACTCCAAATCTAACCAAAATCAATGTAAAACCATCAAAATATGCTAGGGAACAAGGCCCACTCGAAAGAAATCAAATTACAACACAAATCCCGAAATTAGCCAAACTCGACCCTCGGGCCCACGACTCAAATTCCGATAAAAATTACATCAATAGACTCCTTATCACTCCCCCAGTTCATTCATATCAAAATCACCAAAATCCAACCACAAATGATCCCTCAAATCCCTAATTTTAGGTTTCCAATTACAAGCCCTAGTTCTTCAATATTAGACTTAAATTCCATGATTAATTAGGTAGAAAACACATTAGGATTGAGTATAAAGTCCATAAATCTTATCTCCAAGTGTTCTCTCTTCAATCCCCTTCAAAAAGCTTCAAAATCGCCCAAAAATGGAGGAACTTATGCTCAAAATCGCGGAAATGAGCTTTTAAAACATTCTGCCCAGACATTTCAATCCTTCATCGCGAACGCAATCAACCCCTCGCATTCGCGAAGCACAAACATAGATTGACCAGAATTTCCTCTTACGCGAACGCGACGACACCCTCGTGAACGCGATGCCTCAGCACTCAACCCTTCGCGGATGCGGCATCACCCTCGCGAACGCCATGACCAACAAGCTCAACTCTCCGTGATCGTGGGACCTCCTTCGCGAACGCAAAGGCCAACTTTACAGCCTACCCCTTCGCGAACGCGAGGGCCTACTCGTGAACGCAAAGGCCAATTGTCTGCAACACCCAACAACAGATTTCTGCAATTTTCCACAACTTTAAATGATCCGTTTAACCACCCAAAACTCACCCGAGGCCCTCGGGACCTCAACCAAATATGTCAACATATCCCATAATATCATTCAAACTTGTTCCAACCTTCGGAGCGCTCAAAACATCAAAACACCAAATTCGCATCGGATTCAAGCCTAAAAATTCCAAAATCTTCTAAATTCTGCTTTCGATCAAAAAGTCAATCAAACCACGTCCGAATGACCTGAAATTTTGCACACACATCCCAAATGACACAATGGACCTACTGCAACTTCCGGAATTCCATTCTGACCCCTATATCAAAATCTCACCTATCAACCGAAAAACGTCAAAATTCCAATTTCGCAAATTCAAGCCTAAATCTACTCCCGGCCTCCAAAATACGTTCTGATCACACCCCTAAGTCCCAAATCACCACCCGAAGCTATCCGAACCATCAGAACTCACATCTGAGCCCTTTAACACATAAGTCAACATTCGGTTGACTTTTCCAACTTAAGCTTACTCAAAAGAGACTAAGTGTCCCAAAAATTACCAAAACCTCTCTGAACCCGAGCCAACTAACCCGGTAACACAAATACAACTAAATAAGGCAATAAGAAGCAGAAATGGGGGAAATGGAGTGGTAACTCATGAAACGACCGACCGGGTCGTTACAACAGCAAAATCATTTTAGGATGATCACCCGTATCATTTGAATCAATCTGGAGGGAGCCAATTTCCCTTTGGAGCGTTTGTACCTTGGTAAATTATTGGACGCCTCCTGTATAAAGTTCGGTACTGAAATAGCGATTTGGTGTATGAATTTATTTTTATATGGCAAAGTCATGTACAATGTTCTGTTCTACTTATTAGGATTATTTTGCTTCGCAATGTAAAATTCATACTAATAGAAAAAGTGAACGCAAAGAGTGACACTTCTGTATGTCTAGACTCTAAAGCAGATGATGACCATTTTTGATATCATGTATATGTTAAGTTTGGCAGAAATTTTGTCCCACACCGGTGGGAAAAGAAGAGTTGGGGGGATTTTCTCCCTATAAAAGAAGGCTTAATGTTTAGGATTTAAACACACCTCTCA